GGGGTGGGGTGGGGGCCACGCCCCTGGCTTTGTGACTCCTCCTCCCCCACTGTTTGCTGTTGGCCTCCTTGCCGTCCACTCCTCCATACTGTGGCCTTGCGGGGCTGGGTGCCGGGCAGGGCCCCCCAGCTCTCCTGGGCCCCGGGTGGAGAGGGACCAGGTTTTGGTTTCTCCTGCTCCATGAACACACAGAGGTACACGTCCTACCATAGGAGGAAGCAATGACTGTTACGAGGTTGCGGCTGGCGGGGGCGCTGGGCTGGGGCAGGCGGCGAGCTGGGGAGGGGTCGGCCCCTGCCCGCCCCGGCCTGGCCTTTCTGCCCTGGCCCCGTGGCCGCCGCGGCCACCCGCTACTGAATGTGGCAGGCGGTGGAGGACGTGGCCTGGCAGCACATGCAGGTGGGGTTCACAGACTTGGGGGGTATGAGGTCCAGGTCCTCGTCGTCCGGGATCTCATCTAATCGGTAGCCATCCTTTAGCAGCTGGATGTTCAAATCCTGGTTGATCTGCTGTAGACAAAGTCGGGGAGGAGGAGGTTAGGGTCCAGCGGGGGTGGGGGGAATGGAGAAGGGCCCTGGCAGGCCCGGCCCCTCTCCACTCCTAGGCTTCGTCCCCGCTCACCTCTGCCCCTCTTCCTCACCTGCGCAGACTCCCGAAGGCAGCCCCACTTCCACCCCACCAATTCTCCTTCCGATTCCCCGCCAAAGTCAGCTTCTCACCTCCGGTTCTGCCTTGTCCCTCCCTGCCCCAACCTCCTTCGGCCTGTAGGTCAGACAGGCACCTATCCTCCCGGCTTTTCGGCCTCCAGCACTGCAGGTCAGTCCTAAGGATCTTCTTTCAGCGCCTCCCTCCCATTCCATGTCCCAAGGCCACTGTGCCATCGCCCCACCCCTTCTCCTTGGTGGTGGTCCTCCTGGGCGGGGGCGGGGTGGGGGGGGAAGAGGGGGAATTCTAGGGCTCACCTCAGCAGATGAGTAGCCGGAGGAAGAGTATCTGGACATGTCAAAGTCGTCATCGCTGGAGGAAGGATGGCAGAGAGGAAGACAGTGAGGCAAATTAGGTAGCAAACCCCTACACCCTCCCTGCAGGCACTACCGCCCCCCCCACCCCCACCCCACCAGCCCAGAGCAGAGCAAACGGCATGTCCTGAATAAAAATGTGCGTGTGGTGCAGATGTGCCTCGCAGCCAGTGTCCCTCCAAACCCACACATTGCTGCCCCTGAGTGGACGGAGACGCCCGGGTTCCCGGTCTCACTTTTTAAAACAAATGACCACCCCTCACCCCTCTCAAGCCAGCCGCAGAGCCTTCCACTCCCCGCTGCAGCTCCCAGGCTGGCTCTGTGCAGGGGTGCTCCTGCCTTCTAGGGGACTTCCATTCAGAGTAACACCTGCTGCTCAGAGATGACATCAGGGCCAGTGCAGGCCCAGTCTTTGGAGCAGTCCTCCCAGGACTGCCAGCAGTGTACTGGTCAGCCCCTTACTCTTCCTTGCTCCCCACATCCCCCAGGGAAACCTCACTCCCAAGGGATTCACCCTTGCAGAATGCCTGGCTGGCTGAGTACAGCTCACACAGCACTGCACCCACGCCCCCCCCCACGCCCCCGCTACACACCTGTCCGTGTCCAGGGCCACCAGTGGCTTTTCATCTGGGCTCTGGTCAAGCGAGGAGTAGCCTTTATTGGGGACGACCAGCCTGGGGGAGAATTCTGAGTGTTAAAGTGGCAGCTGGGGCACACAGCCCTGGTGGGGGACAGGGCTGGGCTCCATCCTGCTGTGCCCCCCCACCCCACTTCCGCCAATTTGGAGCCTACTACATCTGTCTCTCCTTTAGGAGAGGGGCTGGGCCTAAAGAAGCAGGGAAGACAGGAAGCTCAGGCCATCAACTGACAGGGTCCAGGTGAGGTGGAGGGGGCTGCTACCTGGTCCGGGCCATGACATTGTTCTTCTTCGGTTGCTGGTTGATGGGGCTACCCATGTTGCTGTTCTTCAAGGAGCCCTTCCGAGCCAGCTCCCGCTGCTTCTCTGCAGGGATACATGGGAAGGAAGCTGTGTCCTGTTCCCAGGAGTACTCTCCTTCCTGATAGGGGCAGACCCCTACTGTCCCGTGGAGACTGCATTTGACCCTGAATCCCTGACCCTTGTCCTTCCAGAAGCCACAACTTCCACTGGAGCAGGAGTGTGTGCTTGGTACCAGGGAAAGAGATGACCACAGAGGGACTGATGTCAGGGAAATCCCGAGAGGGACACAGTGAGGGGGGGGGGGGCATTCCAGGAAGAAGGGAGCGCCTGGACAAATGTGAATTTAGAAGTCACCATACTAAGTGTGTCAGTTTGGGACTTGAGAGGATTAAGAGTGAAGGGGTAGAGTCTAGTCTGTCAATCGGGTCATAGCCAATGAGGCCTCTGGGTGGGCATGGCCTTCTCCTGAGAATTCTGGGAACTCCTGTATTTCCCTCCTTGGAGGCAGGAGATACACTCTAACTCGACTTACTCCCTTGGAGATGCTCTACTGACAAGACACATGGCACTATGCTGATAGACCCCATTCCCTGGGAACTGGAGCCACATGGAGACCCCTGCCAGCGCTGAGACACTTACAATGCCCCTGGATCCAAAGACTTTCTACCCACTGACCTGCACTAGGCGTCGTTGCATGTGTCTCGTGAGTATGAAGAGGACTTTATGGATTGGTATGGGACATAGGGGCTAATATCAGACTTATGGGCTTGGACAGGACTGGGTTGGGATGTTTTCTTGATGTAAAATTACCTTTTAGATATAACTCTCTTATACACAAATGTGTGTTTATGAATTTGTTTCTCTAGTCTACCCAGACTAACACATTAAGTGTGGATGGAACAGAAGGCTGAAGAGTGAGAGGGGATCTGGTTGGGAAAGTAGGATCCATTTACTCAGACACTTATTCATTCATTCCATATAGGCACCCTGGTGGCATAGTGTTGGGCTATTAACCACAAGGGTAGTAGTTCAAAACCAACAACTGCTCCTCTAGGGAAAGATGAGGCTTTCTACTCCCATAAAGATTTATAGTCTCAGAAACCCACAAGGGTACTCTGACTTTGTCCTATAGGGTTGCTAATGAGTCAAGATTGATTTGATGGTAGTGAGGAGTTTTCATCCAACAAATACTGCGTGTTACTAATCATGTGTCAGGTCCTAGGCTACGCAGCAGGACACTCAGTCTGGTTATAAACTCAGGACATTTGTCATGAATGCCAAAGGCTATGGAGTGGAACTGACTGAAGGGAACTAGCGAGGCAGGGGACTCTGGGGTAGGGGTTGGGGGGCTGAGTGATGCTGCTCCAACTCTACCAGGCTATCAGGTGACCCACTGCCCAGCTTGGCACTGAGTGAGTGGTCTTATGTAAGGTGACCAGACATCCCGCTTTTGGCGGGACAGTCCCGCTTTTTGGCGTTTTAAAAAAGTTCCGCTTTTTGGAAAGAATGCACGACAAGCAAGGGAACGGTCTATTTGGTCCATATACTGTAGACCAAATTTTTAATCAAGAACCCCTCCCCCCAGCCCGGTCAATGGTATCCTGCTTTAAATCTGGTCACCTTAGTCTTATGGGAAAATTTGGGGTGCGGGAGAGGGCACTGGCCTCCTCTCCTTGTTCTCAGCCTCTGTTCCCAGCAGTGGCTGCTCAGGTTCTGGAGCCCTCTGCCCTCCTCTACACCTCAAGGAAAGCCCAGATGGCGGCAATGGGGCTGGTGGGGGAGTGGAATGCTAGAGGAACACTGTCTTATAAAATAGCTATGAGTTTCAGCTACTGTGACTCACCTGGCATTTCCTCTGACTCCCACGCCTCTGAGCCTCTCACCTCCCTGCCTTTGCCTGTCCCTAACTCTTTACTTGTTAAGGTTCACCAAAGTAGCCAGCAAGAAGCGGCACCTGGCATTACTATTCTAAGCCTCTAGGGGGTGCAATATGCCTTAAAGTTCTTGTTGTTGGTGGGTTTGTTTTTTCCCCCTCCCCGTAATGAAACTGGAACCAGGTTTTGAATTTTCCTGAGGCACTTTGGTGTTAATGTAATGGAGGGGGGGGGGGTATTTTCAAAGTCTGCTGAGATTTTTTTGAATGAGTGAAAAAACAGGCGAAACCAAACGATGGACTACTATGCAACCATTGGGAAGAAGGCAGAGATTCTCTGCGTGCTAATATTGGAAGGGGCAGCAACAGGATGCAGCTGCTGCAGCTACAGGGCATGCCTGGCAGCCAGGTGCTGGCAAATGAGTGCAGAGTGGATGAGAGAGCAGTTCTCAGGGAAAGTTGACCTGGAAAGCGGGGGAGTTGTTAAGAAGCTCAGAGAAAGCCCCTTAATCAGGGGCCACCAGATCCTTCAATTGCCTGGTGAACTGAGGTTGGATTGGAGAGAGGGGCTCAGCTGCTAGCCTTGGGGACCCCCCATTCCTTTCTGTCTTTCAGATCAGCTGACACCCCGCATTGAAGGCAACTTATTAGCCAGACCCAATGTTGGATGCTACTTCCAAGCCTCTGGGCTCCATGCCGGTCTTTCTTGGACTATCTAGAGCCTTTTGGGCTGCAGCAATGCCATCTTCCAGGGGACTGTATTACCCTCTTTGCTTTACAGGAGATCCAGGCGCCTGGCAAGGATAGTGAATTGAGTCTTGGAATCATCTAACCCAGTTGGTGTCTCTGTGGTACCTCACTGCAGGCCCAGTCGAGTGTGACTTGTCCACTCTCCATGTCTCCCTCACCCCCGGACACACTCACCCAGCTTCACTTGGAGTGGGGATGGTTTGTAATTCGTGGCTACTGACTCACCCTCCCGGGCGTCACAGTCTCCGTCTGAGATGGAGGCGGCGGCTGGGTCCTGTTGGGGAGAAAGCAGAAAGACAGGGAGTTGTTAGAAACTGAACACGGGGTTGCTCCCAACCCTGAATTTTGCCACCACCTCTCTGGGCTTCGGGAGGTATTTGTCGGGGAGGGGCTCAGACCCATTCGTGATGGCACATTCCGAGCTAGGTAGAATAGTCAAGGACCTCAGCAGGGTGACTCTTCAAAGTTCTGTGTGATCCAGCCTCCCTCAGAAAGCTTTCCACAGGACTTTCTCCTTGGACCCAAAGCTCCTATCAGTGGCTCCGAACCTCAGTCTTACCTGTGGAAAGGTCTTTCTAGGTTCCCATTGGTTGTTGGACCAACTGGACTGAGGTCAGGGTAGGTGCTCTTTGAGCCAGGCCTTCTCAGACCACACTGGGTTCTCCAGGATCCAGAGGACTGAGTGGCCAGATGACAGGTTGCAGCCATTGGACAGAAATCCATTATAATGAAGGCTCTCCATTTCACATATGAACCCTAGAAGGGATCCTGGACGAGCCTGCTGGGTGGGCTGGGTGGTAGTGAGAGGACACATAATGGCGTATAAGGGGATAGACAGTCCTGTGCTGCCCAGAGTGTCAAATATGAGGCTTGACTCTCCATCAATGATGAAGGAAGGAGGTATGCACGGATGTATTGTCCAGGGTCTGCAGCCTTCTCTGTCTCCCTCACCACCTTCCTACTTAAGGTACTCATCTCCCTTCAATGGTCAAAGCCCCATGTTGCCAAGGACCCCAACCCAACTTCGCCACCCCTACCTCTCAATATCCTAAATCTCTGCCCCAAGAGTCAGGGTCCTACGCCACTCTCACCCCCAGCTGAATAGGGCTAGAGTCATCCATGTTCTACTGAGAAGCCGATGACCCCCACTACTGTCTTTGCATTCAAACAGAAGGCAGGGCGGCAGGGCTAAGGTCTGAGAATTGCAGAGGGGATCCAAGGCTGCTGCCGGATCTGTCTTTGGGAATGCAGAGAACAGACCGAGTGGTGGTTAGAATGCCCCAGGACTGGTCGGGTGTTAGGTCTGGGGGCTTGGGGGGGCTCCTGGTGACCTGTAAACATCATGCTGTTCTGAATGCTCGGGAGTGAAATCCTGGTCTTGGAGTGAAATCTTGGTCTGTGGGCCATCAGGCCATCAGAACACAAGGCCCTGGTGGACTCTCTCGACAATAATTCTGTGAGTTTTGGAGGACAGAGCCTGGACCTCCCTCCTGTGCCCTTAAACATGGTGGACTCAGAGGGGTCAGGGAGACTCAGCTTAGAAAAGGCTCAGCAGCACAGCACTTGAATCTCAGGCCAATGCATACCAGTCAGGTTTCCTGTTTGTCTTTCCCTGAGAACGGCAGCCGGTGCACCATGACCATCACATGTCAATGCAATAGGGGAGATTAAATGTGAAATATTCATGAATATAAGTATCAGAAAGGAATCCAGGCAGAAGGAAGCGTCTGGCTCCATGAAATCAGGGAGAATTGAAAATACCCCCCAAGGACATCTGACAGGCGTTAGCCAGATCCGGAACTAGAGTGAGGATTAGCAAGATTATTAATAAACACTCAGTAGAGACAGACATTGAAATGCATCTCTAACAGCACCTACGTCTCTGCAACCGGTCAAACAAATCCTCCAAAGACTGCTGAGAATGATTAATAGCCCGGTCTCGCTGTTTCTGGGACAGGTTATATAGGCTAATGGCCAGCACAAAGCCAATACATCTAGAAGAAGAACGTGCCAGAAGAATGCTTGGAGTGCGCCTGGCTCAGTGGCTTTCAACTGTTACTCAAGCCCTGTGCCTTCGGTGGGGCTGAGTGAGGAGGAAACTACTGAATGAGGCTTCCCTTCAACCAGAGCAGATCACGTTTTAATTAATTTAAGCACAGGCTTCCTACAAGATTTTGGGGGGAGAAAGGGCTCTGATGCTTAAAACAAGGAAAAAGGTTAAGATCCATGAATCCAATTCAATCCAGCCTTTAAAAAATTTTTTTTATTTTTTATTAAAGATATTACTAAACTCATCTGAAATAGAATAGTATAATGAAATTCTGGGTGTCTCTAGGGTCGCTAATGAGCCCTGGTGGTGCTGTCAGGTAGGTGCTGGGCTGCTAACAACCAGCTGCTCAGAGAGAGAGGAGGTTATCTGTTCCTGTGAAGGTCCACAGCCACGGAAATCTTCTAGGGCAGTGGTTCTCAACCTTCCTAATGCTGCGACCTTTATATACAGTTCCTCATGTGGTGGGGACCCCTCCCAACCATAACATTGTTTTTGTTGCTACTTCATCACTGTCATTTTGCTACTGTTATGAATCAGGCGGCCCCTGTGAAGGGGTCATTTGACCCCCAAAGGGACCGAGACCCACAGGTTGAGAACTGCTGTTCTACAGGGATGCTATGAGTTGGGATGGACCCGATGGCACTGGTTTTGGGGTTTTTGAAAAGGGTCGCTATGAGTTGGACTCCACTTAAGGGCAGTGGATTTGGGTTATTTGCCAAATGTCAACTTTTCAACTTATTCTTTTGAAAACGAAGGAAACCTAGGCCCAGAGGGGAAGTTCTTATCCAAGTTCAGTGATGGAGTGAGACAGTGACCTTTCAAAGTATACAACAGGACCCCAAGGAAAGAGAAGGACTAGGACTTGGATCAGAGAGAGGTCCTCTGGGAGGCTATTCAGCCCCTTCAGGGCCAAGCAATCAGTTTACATACTCCTACCTTTTACCTCTCTGCAGATATCTAAAACCAAACCCACTGCCAGTGTGTCAATTCCAATGCATATCAACCCTACAGGCGGATGTAGATAAGGAAGGCAGAATTGAAGAATAGGACTTTTAAGGCTCGTGCCCAGAGGTTTTAAGAGGGGAGAGGGTCTAGAGAGCTTGACAATCTTCTCTGGTAGGAGAAAAGGACTTGTGGGGGGCTCTGTAATTCCTAATGTGTGTCTTCAGATCCACAGCTCATCTGATTTCCATAAGTACCCTGGAGACAACGCAATTGCCTCTCCACATTAAAATGATCACCACCACACCTCCCTAATTAAGCAGACCATGTGGCCCAAAGGAGCCTTAGGGGTGTAGTGGTTATGCATTGGGTTGCTAACCATCAGATCAGCCACTGTGAGGGAGGAAGATGGGGCTTTTGACTCCCATAAAGAGTCACAGTCTTAGAAACTCCCAGGGGGCAGTTATACCTTTTCCTATAGGGTTACGATCAGTTGGCATTAACTCAATGGCAGTGAGGTTTTGGTTTTTATATGCCTAGTTGTGCTGACCTCACTGCCAAAGCTTAAGGGATGCGTTGACTAAAGGAAGACACAATCCCATCCGCTTTGTCACACCCTCAGGAAGACAGGTGATAACAGCTATACATAAGACTGCCCAACAATTCCACCCCTAGGGATCTGTCCACACACTTGAAAACAAAGACTCAAAGGAGACTTGCATAATCATGTTCATTGCAGCACTATTTACAATAGCCCAAAGGTGGAACTAACCTAGATGCCCACCAACAGATGAATGGATGGACACAATGTGGTCCATACATACAGAGGAATATTTCTCAACCAGCAGGAGAAATGCTTTGACATAGACTACAGTATGGACAGAACATGAAGACATTATATTCATCGATACCAATCCCCAAATAGTATGACCGCACTTATATAAAAAGACAAGAAGAGAGACCAAAGTTGACTAGTGGCTACTAGGGGCAGGAGGGACGGGGAAATGGAGGTTTTCATAGTGATGGAAACGTGGCATTGATTAAGGACAGGATTTGAACAATTGGTCAATATGTCGTACACCTATAGGAAGTTGAGTTGGCAAAAGCAGTGTGATATATTTACAGTGACAAGAGAGGAGCTACTGAGGCTGCTTACCTACACCTCGTGGAGTCTGGTTCCTTGGTGGGGAGGCTTAGGGTCCTAGTTTCATAAGACAACCCAGTGAAACAGAATGGTGGACTTCCCAGCCCACTGAGCAAGTGAAGCTGAGCACCTTCAGGTAAGAGGCTGGCTTATAGCCTTAATTGGGGCACTTAATTAGGGGAGCTGGGTGTGCTGACCCAAGGAGCTGAGTGCCATAGGACTGAGGCTCATGGTAGAATAGCATGTCCTTTGGGCATTTATTGGCAGCCCTCAAAGTGCTTTGTAACACTGTTTTAGCAGAGCAGAGACCGATGGGTCATGTGACTATGAGCCAAGAGACTAGAGAGAGTGGGCACAGCTGATAAGAGGCTGTCCAGTCCACAAGTACAGTCTGTGAGTTCTGTGAAGCCACTGCAATGAATTCTCAAGCTCAGCTGGCAAGTAGAGTGTGCTGTGGAGGTGCATTGGCTCACAGCTGCTGCTCTGGCTGCACAGGGTAAGGAGGGGATGAGTCAGGAGGCATCCTGTCTCTTATCTCTCCTCCTTCCATGGTGCTACAATTCCCTCATTCATTTAACAATGCTAGTGCTGGGGCTCACAATGAATAGAAAGTAGGTCTATCCCTAAGGAGAGTCTAGTGATGATTATTCCAGTGATTTTCTATGGCCTAAAAGCCATAGAAAAGGAGAGGAAATATGACAAAGTGGGTGATGGTCAGAGAAAACTTCCCAGAGGAGACCTCTGAGAGAAACTCAAGATGTCAGTTCAGTGGTGGGTTTCAGAGGAAGGGAGAAAGGACATCCAGGACACGAGCAAAAGCTAAGAGCAGAGCACATCGAAGGAACAGTTAACATTCTGCATAGTTGGAGCATAGAAGGTAGGACGGAAGGTGACAGGAAAGAAATTGGGTGGAGTCAGGGGGACTCAAGGCCATGGAGGCAGGTGGGCTTTGGTCTTGTTCTTTATTCAGCTGATGGGGAGCCAGTGAAGTCTTAGGGAAGCAACATGGTCAAATCTGACATGGAGCCCGATCCCCTGATAGCCGTGGGGGGGACGCGTAGGAAGGGAATGAGACTGGAGGCAAGGATAATTAGTAAACCACTGACATAGTGCCAGCAAGAGATAGCAGGGGCTTAAA